CTATAGTTTCAGAGACAAGTCTAAATCTATTTCTTGATGAGATTTCGAACTAGAACCGCCGGCGCCGGCGCCGGCAATGTCCATTCGGAACCCGTCTCCAATCCCATCAACCACCGTATGAGATCTATAGGGCATATCACTGTTCCGCGACGACGACGACACATGGTAACTCACCGGCGGCAGCCCCACTATCGCCGGCTGCTGATCAAACGGCCGCCGTCTGGTCCATGCATTATAGTCGTAGATGGAAGGTGACGGCGACTGTGACCCGAAATAACTCCCGGGTTTTTGGATCATGGAATGATCTTGAATCCCAAGGGACCTATTGTATAGCCCATGCAGAGGAAGAGAAGCGGCGCCGGGCTGATATCCAAACGCCGTGACTGCCGGCGACGGCGCCGCCGTTGCCCCGACTCTCTTGCCCCTCTTCGCCATCGCCCGCTCTCGCTTATGCGCGTTCTGGTGGCCGCCGAGCGCCTGCGAGTTGCTGAATCTCCTCACACAATAGTTGCACGACAAAAGGCGGCGGCGATCACCGCCGTCGTCGTCATCATCATCCCCTACTAGTGTGTAGTACTCTTCTCTGTGATTATTCTCCATAATTTTTTATGGGAAAAATAAAAAAGCAGAATGAAAAAAGAATATATATAATTGGTGGGGTGATGATGAAGAAGAAGAATGGAGAGATGAAATTTGGGGTTTATAGCAATAAAGTTGAAATGTTAATTTATTGCAAATAAATGCAATAGTGATATGTATGGGAGCAGGAATTAGGAATTACAGTTACAAGGTCTTATTATGGTAAGATTATTGAAGAATTTTGATTATTACTATCATGAAAGACAGATGTGTATATCAACCTTACCTTGTATATATTAATGTATGTGTTCCAACTGCTGTCCTTCATTCCACTTGAATTGTCTTTTGTTTTTTAAGCCCATTTTGGGGAGTTGTTATGGATCTCCCTAAAATGATGAGGAAACAAAATTATTAATAATACTAGTATTTTTGCCCGTGTGATGCACGAAATTGATTTGTTAAAATATTTTAAGAATATTTGGATCGAATTGATTTGTTAAAATATTTTAAGAATATTTGGATCGATATATAATTATATAAATTATTTCATTGAATATTATATAATGCAAGTAATTGATGAAGTTGGATCGATGGTATTTTCATGTTATCATTGTTTGAATTCGATCAAATAATTATCTAATTAATAGTCAATTTTAAGACCTCCCACACGGGAGAGGTCACTATATACCATCTGAGCATCTGAGCACAAGGTGCTTAGCACACATTCTATACATAATTACACATCTTTATATATACGTATTGTAATGAGGTCCCATAAGTTTAATTGGTTAAAGATGTGTTACAAAATCAGTCATAATTAATTTCTTTTGAATCATTCATACGTATTGCAAGAACATTTCCATCTTTAATTATACAATTTTCCTTATAAATTGTGGATACTAAATGATTATATTCAATTTTTCATTTGTAAATATATATATCTTTACATAACTATATTTCCAGTAACATATATATACAATCTTTTTTAATATTTCCAGTAACTTTACATTTTATAAAATATATAATGATTAATATTTTTTCCATCTCGGCTAAATCTTTTGTTTTTTTTGACATACTCGACTAAACCTTATAATTACACAATCCTTACACTACTGGAAATTATGGAATTTCCGACCACCTGAAAGTGATCTTAAATCAAGTTGATATCAAAAAGTGGTCGGAAATAGTAACAAAGGTTTTTCTGGATACCAAAAATGGTCGGAACAAGGCTTTTGACTTGATTTAAGATCACTTTCAGGTGGTCGGAAATTTCATAACTTCCAGTATTGTTATATTCTTAGTATAAAATAACATTTGGTGTAAAAATTATTAACTTCCATCTCGATTAATATTCTTTCCATCTCGACTAAACCTTATATTTCCATCTCTTGCAAAACATTTTCTGTCGTTAATTACAAAATTTTCCTTACAAATTGTGGATACTAAATGATTCTATTCCATTTTCCATTTTTAAATATATATCTTTACATAACTATATCTTAGTAACACACACACACACACACACACACACACACACATATATATATATATATATATATATATATACAGATTTTTTTTTTTATATTTCCAGTAACTTTATATTTTAAAAAATATATAACCGAGATTAATATTCTTTCTATATACTGAGTCAGTTTGGAAGCATTTTTCGTTTTTAGTCAATTATTAATAGTCATTTCCTATTTCAATTAGCTTAAATTTCGTGTCATTTTTATTCTCAGTCAATTATTTTTTTAATACATATTAATTAATTAGTTAATTATTAATAAGTGTTTTTTTTTTATATATTTCTACTAACTTTACATTTTATAAAATATATAACCGAGATTAATATTTCTTTCCATCTCGGTTAAACGTTAAGATGCAAACTTCATTTTACATGTTTATTAATACATTTTATACTAGTAATTTTTATATTTTTAGGAACTTATTAATATTCAAGAATTAATATTTATTTCCTTTTTCAATTGACCTAATTTCCATAAAAAAAATTATATTTTCAGTAATTTATTAATATTCAAGTATTAATATTCATTTCATTATATTCTTATTTTTTAATCAAGTATTAATATTCATTTTATTTTTTGCATTTGAGTCAGTTTCGAAGTATTTTTAATTTTCAGTCAATTATTAATAGTCATTTTCTATTTCAATTGGTCAAAATTCTGTGCCGTTTTTATTCTCAGTTAATAATTATTTTTGTAATATTCTTTTAAATACTATAATTTCACCTATGAACATAGTGTGAATAAACGAATAAAACAAATGAATATTCAAAGTAATGTAAAATCATTAAATCTTTCAATTTAAACAAAAGACAGAAATTTAAAATTTAAAATATAAAATCTATATGCTTATTCGTGCAGTATTACCAATTAATTATATTACCAATTATATTATAAAATACCATACATATTATTATCAATTATATATTATATATGTTATTACGTTATTATGTAATTATTACTATCTTTTCTACACGGTATTACCAATAGAATATTTAATTAATTAACTACAAATGTTTGAGCAGAAAAATAAAATAAGAGAATTTTGTGTTATATATATATATATATATATATATATATATATATATATATATATATATATATATATATTGTGTATTATTTTTTATAATTAAAGTATAATATTATTAAATCAAAATTATTTAAAATATATAGATTCATATTAAGAAAAATCTTATTAATTTCGGATATTAAAATTATATATTTTACTCTAAAAAATTATATATTTAAATTAAAGGTAAAATTATAAATAATAAAGTTTTAATAAGTTTAGTTATTTCCTAAGTTATATATGGTTAGTAATGAATAGTTTCCTATATTAGATTATGCTTATATATGGTTTACCGTATTAACCATCACTATATTAAATTAATATATAATTTTTTTAATATAATATATAATTAAATCTAAACATATGGTTAATATTTATTCAATATTATTATGAATGTATTACAATTATAAATTTACAATTATAGCTTTGTGTATGAAAAACATAAAAAGTTAAATTGTTTTAATCAAAATTATTAAAAATAATGCGTCTACCGTACAAAATAAATTATACTTACTTTAATAATTAATTATTAATATAATTGCCTAATTTAAATTTATAATTATTAATAATTATTTGTGGTAATTATTAGGCATTAAAAAAAGATAAATAAAAAGAATAAGAGAAATAGAAGAGGAAAGAATATATAGATGTCATACGACATCTTACATAAGGCAAATAGATATAAAATTTAATCTAGAATTGTAGTAGGCCGGAAAGAATATATTGTATTTGGAATTGTATTACCATATTTTAATGTACAATTGTAGTACGAATAGGAATTGTCTTACCATATATTTTACAATATTTCACAAACCTGAATAGTGTATGAGTCTTTTGGGCAGAGGTTTTTTTTTTTTTTTTTTTTTTTTTTTTTTTTTTTCATGCCCCCTTGGGATTTTAATTCCATGAATTTTAGGAAGAAAAAATTATAATGATGAGACAAAATTACCCTCATTTTTTAACCTAAAATTGATGCCTGACAACAACAATGGGCATTTTGGACTTATACTACTTATTACCTTTCAATTCCCATGTATACCAAACGGTGAAATTTAAGTTCCTGTAAACCAAACACTGGAATTTAAGTTCCCACTTTATTCCCAGTAATTCATCTCCCATAGAATTGTAATTTTTTTCCTACATAATTCCCTCTCTCCAACCAAACGCCCTTTTAACTCTTTAAAAAATACATTAATGCATTCATATACAACTAACCACGAAATAGAGACCAACATCTCCACATATAATTGGTAGAAATTTGAACTCCTAACTTTTGAGGGTTTTTTTTTTTTTTTTTAATAGTTTTGAATAATTGGCTAAAAAAATAATAATTAATAAATAAGGATCGGATAAAATAAACTTACATGAACCAATTTTTTTTTTTTTTTTACCAAAATTAACATTTTATCATTTGATATGACAATAAAACTATTTTTATGCTCCCACTACTAGCTCCTTTGGTTCCTGGTGGCATATCGTTGACTATAACGCATGATTTGTGATGTATCGAATCCCTTTATAATCACGATGGATTGGGATGTGAGAGCCTTGGGGATAAGAAATTTCACCTTTTGTGAGCAAATATAATAAAACGTTTTTTTATTCTTTAGTTACCCTGGATTGACAAACGCATGGCCGTGTTAAAAAATGAATCTACGTACTTATGTTGTCACGTCAAATTGTGAATGCTTTTTTGTAAAAGTGTTTAATACTTATAGCATGATCCTATTATTAAAGAACGACAACATTAGCTGACAAATATAATACTCATGATCAAATGGTACACTATTCTTCGCAAAAGGTTGAATCCCCAACTCTAAAAGCCTCCAACACCCCGGCCCAACAGAGCATCTGGGAGGATATAAATCATGGTAATTCAACTGAACCACAGATGTTAGACCTTTGCTCACTGCGCACAAGGAGCCCCCCCTTACTTTGACAGTACGTTTGGTTCACGGAATGAATTTTGCGGTAATAGGAATGCTATTCCATAAGGAATAGAATAGAATATCAATTCACTGCTGGAAATTATGGAATTTCCGACCACCTGAAAGTGATCTTAAATCAAGTCGAAAGTCTTGTTCCAACCACTTTTAGTATCCGGAAAAATCTTTGTTGCTATTTCCTACCACTTTTTGCTTTCGACTTGATTTGAGATCACTTTCAGATGGTCGGAAATTCCATAATTTCCAGCACTGATTGTATTCTATTGTTTAGTTCGCGGAAGGAATAGACTTTAGAAATTATATTACAGTGTTTGGTTTATTTAAGGAGTAGAAATGAAATATGTTTTAAAAGACATAAATACCCTTATAAAAATATGTGATGGTGGCGGTGGTGGTGACAGCGGCGGTTGTGGCGGTGGCGGCGGTGATGGTGGCGACGACGGCGATGGTGGTGGTGGTGGCCGTAGTGAAATATGAAATAAA